GAAATGTTATAAAACCAATGTAATTTATCATATTCAAAATTATTATTTACTCCTGAAAAATTCAAGATTAAATTGAAAAATTAAATCAATTACGTTATATTTTTTTTTTATTAAAATGTATTATTTATTTTACAATAAAAAGTAAATAATAAATTAAATTCATTAAACATACTTTATCAATTTAAAAAATATTCATAATATAACTTTCATTCAGCTGATATTTAAACTTATATACTAATGTCTATAATTGATTAAAACTACATTACGATGATAATATATAAAAATATCATAATTGACTGCAAATTTTAATAAAAAATTAGATTTAGTTGTTTGTAAATACACTACTATCTTTTTAATTGTTAATTTCTATATATTTTAACATAAAATTATATCTTTAAAAATATAATCTTACAGCTGTTAATTATATAGTTGTCTTTAAGTGAAAGAATCAATTTATCAAAATTAGATATGAAAATAATCATTAATCATTTGCAATCATAGGTAATTAAATATCTCCTAGCTTCTAATGTTTATTCTATATTTTACACTTTTCCTTTCTGTTTTTGATACTTCCTTCTAAGAATCTTAATAAATCATCTTTATCAATAGATAAATGCTATTCTAAAATGTGTTTGAAGTTTGCTCTTTGTTAATGTTACTCACTAATTTTCCCTCTGTGGATAATAACTATCAAAATCCATCATGTATTCTTCGCTTTCGTCTCCATTATTATTTCTCTTTTTTCTTTACTTCAATTTCAACTTTTTAAGGGGTTTCACATTTATTGTAGGTAAGGTATAATTTAAGATAGAATTGATAAAACACTCCAGATATTGCTACTTTTCCTTTTAATTATTTTTATATTTATTAGATGTTCATTAGAAAAAATGTTAAATTAGTATGCTTTGATGAATCTTGTAAAGGAGAGAGGTTATATTGTATTTAATGGATAAAAATGGAATTAATGTTTCTCATCCTCAATATTAAGAAGAATTGCCTAAATTATTTGTACATATTTAAAGTATTGAAAAGGAATGTGATGATTTAATTAATAGGATGAATATATAAATGGATTTACTTTAACAAGAGTTCTATTTATTAATTGGGGGAATAATTTCGAAATATCAAATATCTAAACAGTAGTTCTTAAATTTAAATTCTTAATAAATGAATTCTTACTTAGAATAAAGTGTACATTTTAGATCATTTGAATTTAAAATCAACTAATTATTATAACAATTCAAAAATGAATTCTAATTCTAAATATAAAAGTTATTGTATGAATTATCATTATATTTCAATTGATTTGTTTACATCATCTTATAAATAATGGATTTAAATTGAGTACATTCTTATAAAGACTTTTAATATATAAAACTATTTTATAATAATATTAATATAAGAAAGTAGAAATAATATAGATTCTGAATAGTTACAATAATATTCAGTTTGAGGATCAATAAAAAATGATTGTAAGCATTAAATAAACAAAAGTTAATAAATTAATATTTATTTCTTCAAACTTCTATTTATCATGGTATTTATTATAAAATTACATCTAAATGATCTGTCATTTATTATCAATCTTTATTAATTATTTATTTTGCTATAATTTTACATATTCTCTAAATTCTCTGTTGTTATTCCAAGATCAGATAAGGGTATGCCTGAAAAATTAATAATCTCAAAAAAACTTATATACTTTATGTAGTGCCTGATTATTTACTTTTCCAAGTGAAAAAATTATATAATCCATTTTGTTAAAATATTAATTGGGAATTCAAACTAATAGTTTTTTTTTATTAGCCTTTGTTACGAATATGGTAAAAATCCATTGTTAGTTAAGTAAAATTGGGATTTCTACTATGCAAACTTTCAAATTGAAAAATTCTAAGGATTGTAATGAGTTATTTATTCACAATGTATAATTTGACATTTTGTAGATAGACTGTTTAAATCATTACTCTGCATATGTGCTAAAATATATAATAAACTTAACTTCCTTAGGGAAAATTGAAAAGAATTGTTTTTAGGATTTAAAACAAATTTTATAAATCTCTGAATTTCTCTATTCTCAATTGCAAAAGTGGCCTCAAAAAAATCGAGAAGTGCATTCTAATCTAATTAGATTGCTTACTATTTTCCTACTTGGAATATTAAATAAATTTGATGAATAATAATTTTAATCTTAAATTTTTATTTAATTGTGCAATTTTCCTTATGATATGATTATGTAGCTTATTAAAAAATCAACAAATTATAAACTATGATAAGTAAAAAAAACATCAAAAGCATTCAAAAGCAATTCATATATGTTTATAACATTTAGAAAATTATTGAAAGGTAGATTAGTACCAATACAATATTTTCATGTAACAATCCAAATACAATAATGATCATAGATATTTTAGTAATGGTGAAAAGCTTTTGTGACACTTCAAATTCACATACTATGCGTATTTAATAGGCTAAAAAACATATTTAAATCTCACTCTGAGAATTAAAAGAAAATCTGATAAAAATGCAATACCCTTCATTAATTCTATTCTCTCCCCGAATTTGATTGTGGACTTATAACTCTAAACTTAGTAATAATAGGTTACAAAATTTCTGTTAATAAAGATGTTCAGAAACTCAGTTTTTTGTTTTCACTATAATTTTTCTGAGCAAGCACACTCTTAATTTTTCAGAGGTTAGAATTAGCTAATTTAATATACATTAATAAAGTAAGTTTTTGGAAAATCTAAGTCCTGTTGAATTTTGGAATTCTATGTGAAACTTAATATTTTTTTTATCTGAAATGATTGCAATATATTATTTCAGCCAAGGTTTAATAATAACTTGTATTTAATTGATAGGTAAAATGTTTCTAATTTTAAAATTAATATTTAAAATCAAAACAGTATATTGGAAAATAACACAAAATAATTATTATTTAATCAAATGAATAACTTCAATCCTCTTTTTTCAATTCATTGCATCTTTAAAACTTCTTTTTTTTTTGAACTTCTATAAGAGTGTAATTCTTATAATTATGATTGGCTTTAGGTTCATTAGATAGGCAAAATTAAACTTGATATTATTTTTACAATAAATCAAGACATTTTGTTAATAGTTAAATATTAGCATTTGTAGAAGTCTTCGGAATTTTAATTATTGAATTAAAGTTCTACGAATAAAGCCATAGCTATAGGAAGCTTTAAAAAAAGTAGGTTAGTGGTCTGTTTATTGTGATTAAATAATATTAATTGTTACTGGAATGAGGATAGAAAACTGAAGTATAAAAATCTATTGTATGGAGAAAAGATTTTAATTAGAAAGAGGAAAAGTGGAGCTATTTTATATAATTTTCTAAAATATTAAGCCTGTTATATAATTAAATTTGAGTTTAGTATGGTTTTTAAACAGATTAGAATTATAATTTAGGAAATAATAATTTGGAGTAAATGATATTTCTTACAATCGTAAATAAAATATGTGTAGTTCGGAAACCATATTTAAATTTGAAAATAAATTCATATACTTCAAATATATATCAAATTTTGTTAAGGTTGATTAAGTGATTACAAAAATTTAGAAACATGGCATATTTAAATTGTATTAAGGTTTATGTTTACAGATTATACGGGTTATTAGAGAAGTATACATATAGAGAGGCTGTAAATAGAAGTAGAACTTTATGATAACATAATGCTTTCAGAAAATTTTTTTTCTTTTTCCTAAGTTAATACTTATAACATTAAAATTGCATAATGTTAATTTTTTTTAATCTAGAATTGGAAAAATAATAAAAAGAGTGGGCCTTGAAGCCTATGTTTAGAAATTCCACTATTAAGCTTTTTTGAATGTGAATAATATCTTAATAAGACAACCCTGATAAAATTTGAATGGTAAATAAGAAAGGTTATCTGAAGATTGAGCTAAATTAAATTGATATCGTATCAAGTGTGTGTATGAATAAAATATATGATTTGATATAAATTGTGTCTTTCAAATATCCGACGTAAATCATCATTCATAAGGCATAAAATTGATTACACTGTAATAAAAGTTTTCAAAAATTAACAACAAGTTCGTCTTTACAATTCATAACACAGGGCTAATGGATTTATATTAGGGAGGGTACACGCTCCATAATGTGACTAATCCATCTTAAGGTCTTTGGACCAACGTAATAGTTGTTTCTGTATCTCAAAGGGCATGGGCATATTTTGAAAACGAGAATATGGCTCCAAGCCGTTCAAGAAGTTGAATATACCTGCACTTTCAAAATGACTCTCAACTTCAAGTCTAGAATATGAGTTTTCATTCTTTAACTAGTTTATTAGTGCTTATTCTCTTCAGTTATTTGCTTTTTAAAAATTAAGTGCTTCTGTTGTCCTGGTTTTTGGAAAAATAGGCTAGTCTTCTGCTCAAAAAGGGTTTCAAAGATCATCAAGTCTGAAAGCCCTCTTATGCATAAATTTGTCTAATATTTTAAACATTATCTATTTCAAAAATAATAAAATTCATTAATTTTATGGAGGAAATGCTTTGTCATTAATGTTTTGGAGAGTCTTTTCAGAGCGGGACGGTGATCAGTAGGTGAGGGGAGGTTCAAAGATCTGAACTCAGAGTCCATGTTTGGAGTCGGGAGTGACTCTAACCATAGGATTGACCCCCTTTTGTTGACTGACCAACAGACCAATATCAAATTGAGTTTGGAAGCACTATATATACCCATTTAAATTACTTTCCATTTTAACAACAAAAATATATAATTCGTATATTATTCTATTATTTGGTTGATATGAATTCCTAAAACAGAAAAATAAGGATAATTTAGAATTATGGAAACAAAATTTACAATTTATGTAGAGAAAAACATACTTTTTTTTTAACTTTATATGCTTATGGCTCCCTAACAATTGTCACCTCTCACATTTATAAAATAGACTATATTGGAAAGAAATGCTTAAACCTCTTTTAATTATTTTATTACATTAGTCTCAAGTAATTTTTTAATGAATACACTCTTAATTAATTATAATAATAAGAACTATCACTTAAAATTTTCATAATCAGTTATTTTTTAGAAGAGCTTCAATGTTGTTAAAAATATGTAAGGATAAAAGTTTAATAATCTAATTTTGCTAGAATGTAATAAACTTTTCTAATAAAGTAGAATTCATTATTTATTAAAAAAATAAAATATAATTTAATTATTTCTTTCCTCTCTTAAGATAGGTAAATACATATTTTCCAAAGTCATATTCTATTTTAGTTAAATGTGCTGAAATATCTACCTAGTGTAAAGAATATATATTTAAATGTCATAAGAACTGTTATCAATTAATATTAATATTAAGTTAAATGTTAATGATACTACATTAAATTAATTTTCTACAAAGGTAAGCACAACGAAGAGGTTAAAAGCAACTGTGAAATCATTACTTATAGATAAGTAACTTAACAAAACTACTTGCTTATTAAATCATCTAAGATATTATGATAGATTTACTTAATGTATTATTATATATAAAAGGGATTGGTATTAATTATTATAATTAATAGTTTTATAATTTCGTTTTTCAGTTCATAAATAAAGATATATTTAATAACACAAATAGTAAAATGATATGTTAAGAATTTACAAAATAATAATTAATCCTAGAATAAATACAAACTATTAAAAAGTTACAACAATGAGATTGAATAATTTTTAAAAGGTTCTCTTTTGATAACTTTTTAATTGATATCAAAAGTATTAGATATTATACCTTAAATTCAATAGATTTCGCCTTAAAAATTGATATTAATAAACAAGATTTGAAACTTTATACAAAAGGCAAGAATAAAGAGAAATGATTGAAAAATAATTCAAAATTAGATAATTTCATTATTACATTTGATATAATTTAAGATTCTAATCACTAATCTCTTGATTTTTTATTTTCTAAAATTAGTAAATATAATAAATAATACACCTCTTAATTTATGTTAATTATTTTATAGAATTTTACTATTTATCATTCAAGTATATCTAAATTCATAGAAGATAGATCAACAGTAAACATTAAATAAAGTCATTTTTACAATAAAGTGAAGAACTCTTTAGTATATTCTAAAATATTGAAATTTGAACTAATATTAATCAGGTAATAGACTTAAGAAGGTTTGAAGAAAGTTTATATTTCTTCTATGATAGGGAAGTCAGAAAGTTCAATATATTATAAGGAAAATAAATTTCAATCTGTCCTCAACTTTAAAATTTATTTTATCTCTCAAATGAGGAGTCTCAAATTTACTTTATATTATTAATTTATTTATTTAACCAAAATATGCCGATTTTCGAATCTGAAATTACTCTCATATATTCAAATCATTCATACTAAAAGAATTTAAAAGATAATATTTAATGATGTTAGTCAAATTATTCTAAATTCAACAGATATTTTACAAAGAGCTGCTCTGACCAAAACTGGATTGAAAATTTATAATTTGTTTTCTATAGGCCTGGATCCATCTTAACCAGCTGTTAGAGCAAATAAAGCATTAGGAAATGAATAAATCACTAAAAACATCAAAAATGAATTTTTATTTTATAAATTATTAGTGTTATAAATAATAGATCAGATATATAAAGAAGAAACAGGACTATTTTTTAATTAGAATGTAATTATTAATTAAATTTATAAAAACTTATGCTTTGATATCTCAAGTAATATAAATACATTGTTAATATTATGAAGATAATAAATGAATTAAAATCCATATTCTAAGGCGAAATTAATTTCAAAGTGATATTTTAATTTCATAAATTTTTGTAAATTGATTTATTAGATTTATAGAGAATTTTTGGGCTCTTTGCCAAAATAGATGCAGTAGGTAAATTATTTTTACTTTATTGAAATAAAATTTCGAAATTATTTCAAGATTGATTGAATATAATTTACTACAAAATTATTTTCTATATTAATCAAAAATATCTCACTAAAATATCAACTTGAACTAAATTTGCAATGAAATTGGTATAAAATGATAAACTACCTAACATGGATTCTTTTATTAAATGAGTTAGTTCGATACTCAGTCAATATCTAAAAGACAAAAAAATTCTAGATTTAAAATTATAATTGAATAACTCAATCTAATTCTTCAAAAAAATATAAACTACAACCCCTAAAAATTCCTAATGTTAGATACAAATTCAATGATTCTTATCTTTTAATTATTTACTGTTAAAATATTATAATAAAGTTTTTGTATTAAATCTATAAGATGATAAATTGTATATATTATTATTCATAAAAGATTTAGATTAAATATACTAAAAATTATAAAAAATTACTATTATGAATGGTTTTCATTAATAGAATTATTATAATGTCTATTCAAAATATTAATAAAGTTAAACAATATTATATATTGAATCCGATTAAACCAAACAAATACACTGTATAAATCTTTCGTTATTCAGATGATGAAATTATTGTTATTTTTATGGATATTTATAATCAAAAAGCGTAGAAGGCTTATATTTTTATGATTGACATAGATTATGTGCCTTTAGTATTCCCTCCTCGATTGTAAAATTTCAATCCTGATACCAATTAATCAGAAAATTTTACAACCATTATATTTTGTTAGGTAAAACCATCAAAAATAATGTTTTCAGTCTAACCATCTTTTGCTATTGTAAAAACTTGAATGTCCGTTTATCTAGTATCACCATCCCACATCCAAAATCTTACAGTATTTATTTCATATGCTTATAAAAATTACACAATTATTGATTTACTAAGTTAGGCAACAACATGCCCAATTACCAAATAATTGGGTGTATAATAGAGCAAATTTCTTAAAGGACTATTATCAATTCCTGATTCCCAAAATGAAATTGTTCTTGCTGAGGATAGTAAAGCACCATTGAACTGCGAAGCTACATCTTTGTAATGTCCCCTAATAATAGATTTTTCTCTTAAAACATAAAGATCATTTTAAGAAAATTTTGCGTTAGCATCAGAAGCTGGTAATGTAGAAAAATCTGAGAAACCTAATAAGAAAAACAAAAGCAAAAATTTCATTAAATATATTTATCTAATCAAATAAAATAATAGAAAGATTAATTGACTATAAGAACTGTTTAAGATTCTAGTTCTCTAAAAATCTACAATCCTAAACTAAATAAGTTGGTAAAGATAGAAAACGAGCTTTGTTTTTGAATAAAAATTTTATATCTATTCACAGTTAATTTAAATTAACCTTACAGAATAGAAAAATGAGTGAAAAAATATTCTGATTTAGTACAAAGAAGTCAATATGAATAAGAATGATTAATTTAAATTAAAGTATTAATTAATAGAAATTTTTGTTAATTTCCATCTTGATTTTAAAAGGGTCTGGTGAAAAAAAAGGATTTTGGAATAAAAAGGTATTAATGCCAAAAATTATAGACAAGGTATTAAACGTATGAAGAGATTGAATATAAAAATAGAATTCTATATTTCTAAAAAAAAGGGTTAAGATAAACGTGAGAAGAGAATATTATTAAAATAATATGTAACTATAAACCAAAATTTTAAATCCTTTTTAACAGAAAATTTAAGGCAATTTAAGTTTTACCATATTAAATATATCCAAAAAAACATTATTTTATAAGTAAACAACAGTTCCAATTAAAAAGTCCTTAATTTAGTAATTTATTTTTCAATTATTAATTTAATAATTAACTCCTCAAAAGTAGATTGAGACATCAAAATATCATACTGTCCAAAAGAACTTAGCCTAAATCAAAATCTTTCTAAATCAATAATTTCAATTTAGAAGTAAGAACCAAAAGTGCTGGGCTTATTGCACCCAAAAGAATTCGTTGGTTTTAAAGAAATTAAAAATGAAAAATTTATGATGCTTTATATTTATCTTCATTTTTTCACAATTAATTGTGCTTTATAAATCCTTCATTTATTCAACTAAAATATGGCATGAGGAAAAGAAGTTGGTGGAAATGCGCTTATAAATAATACTTGATATCCCAAGTTACAGTATCTATTATATTCTTTACGATTATTTTTCTATAGTCCAATATGATTCCAGATTCTCATTTGTTTTGACATATATTTCAATACAGTCATTTAAGTAATCTTAAATTCAAAATATATTATAAGAAATAAGTTAATTAACTTTGTTTTTTAATGAACATATAACAACTCAAACCTATGATTTTGAATAATGTATATCATAATTAATCTTCTAGGGCTTCATAGAAATTCTTTCAAAAGTAACATCACTCTCAACATAATAATTTTCAACGACTTTCTACAGATTTCTCCACTAGATAACTTTACTTTTAAATTATATAATCATTAAGTAACTTTTCTTAAATATATATATAATTAGGATTCTTCTATACATTCAATTTCTCTTTATATTTTCCAGACTTTTATTCTTATTTATCCATATCAAATATATACATAGTCTACTTATTTTTTTATAAATGATATTTAATGTTAAGGAAAATTTACCCACCAACTTATCACTATAAAATTGCCATCCTACATTTAATTCTTAATTTTATACATACAAAAATTTCTTGTTAAATACACCCAAATCTAATTTACTGGCCTAAACCATAATTGCCAATAAAAAAATATCTAATATCATTTAGAAAATATTTAATCATTCTCACTTTTCTTTCAAAGATGACATTTTCATTTGGCAATTTTTTGATCTTGGATGTCTATTAGAAAAAAATTTTACAACTTAAGATAAAAAAAATATCTAGTGTAGATAATAACAGATTATTCTGCGAAGATATGATGCTTCTATATTTGTTTTGATGATAATATTTCAAGTCTATCCAAATTTTTTACTAAGCTACTCGCTTAGCCCAACCTAGTTGACCCTATTAAACTTCTAACTTTGAATTCCTTAAAATTTATTCAATTTGTTTTCTTAACTTTACAATCTGTCAATGATTCTAAAGGATAGTCCATTCTTGATTTTGATTTACACACTTGTGTCTACCCTAAAAGTTCTGTATCCATTATACATTCTAATGACATTCAAGTACAAGTTTTCTATAAAAATCTTAGAGAATTTACATCATACCAATTCTCTTAGCCTTAGCTAATTGTTATTCAAATAATTTTTATAATATACCTATCAGCTTCTTAAATAATTCTCATTTAAGTAAATTATCCTAATGTAAGTCTAAGGGTGCTTCTGAAATGTCCAATGTTTATTCTCGATTTTTAATTTAATTCTGTTATGACTTCTTTATCATAACTATTGCTACATTTACATCCGTGTCTTAACTTTAGAATTAAACAAATATAATTAAAAACAAGATTTTTCTAGAACAAACAATTTCTTCTTATTGATATTAATGCTTAAAATCTACATAAAATGATCATCTAATTTATGTACTAATTTAGTTAGTAACTTTTCTTATTCCTTTTTGTCTTCCTCCTTTTCATCAATTGAATCTTTTCCAGTTTGTAATTCTTGAAAGCAAGCCTAATCTAAAACTGTACAGAAAACCAGGTAACAAAATTCAGAAAATTATTTTAAAAGAGTTTTTAATATTTCTCTCTCTTATAATCGAATTTTGATTAGATATTTCTTAAGAGTATGGATTATCAGTATCATCTAAAACGGCTTAACAAGTTTAGAAGAACCATCAAATATAGGCCATCCATTTTAGAGATATTAGGGGTAAAAGGCATGAATTGATGAGACTATCATTTAATCACCTTTTATTTACAATTAAGACAAAATGAAATATGATATTAAATAAAAAAAATAAATTTCTGTGAAGCAGATTCATTTCGAAAATTTGTCATATGACATATAATGAAGGAATATAAAATGATTTTATAAATAATAAAAGAAGACCTAAACAATTACTTGACGAAATTATTTCCTTAGAGGAATCCTATTTAATAATATCTCTCTATTAGAGAAGATATTCAGAATTTATCAGTCTTTCTGGTAATATTTAAATTTTTTTGTTTCACTGAGCTAGTGGATAATTTTTAAATTAGAATAATAATACCTTTATACATTTTATTTAGAAATGAATAATGAGAATTAAATTTGTGTTAAATTGAATAATATAATAATTTGAAGTTTCTAGTTTATTTTTCCAGACAAAACTTAACCAAGTATTTACAGTTATTTTATATTATAATCAAAAAATAATTTAATAAAACCATGTGCAATCATAAATCAAAATATTTGATATATGAAGAGGTTCTATTAAAATTAAAATCCTTTTAGTTATAAATAATTGTAAAAAATCTCAAAATTTACAAATTCTCCTTCAAGATTAACACTCCTTTGAATAAATTATTTGGACTTTAAAACTTCAATAATTATTCTTGAAATAAAATTTCTTCAGTTTCATATTTAGTTTCATAATATAAATTGTTCTCAAAAACTAAAATAGTATTATAAATTGATATCTTATATTTGTCTCACATATATTTAATATAATCAATTATATCTTAACAATATTTAGTCTTCTAAAATGAAACTTCCTCTTTATTTTAATAACATCTTTAAATCTAAATTTGATTGAATAATAAATTCTCCTTTAAATATCAGAGCACCATATGCCTCAAAATGAAGATGTTGAGCAATAACAAGAGATGTAACTAGAGAGTTAACTATAAATATGACTAATAATTACAACCTTATAACAATTAAATCATTTAAGGCTATGTTTTAAATTGGGTAAGAAAATCTTTATATCTTATGTCAGAAGTAGAAATTTATTCTTCCGTATTAAAATCCCATAACTAAATCAAGTTATCAACATTACAAGTTGCTAATATAGTTCTATCAGTAGAAAAACAGACTTAATTAATAAGACTAGTATAACGATCTAAATTGGTTTTGGATTATGCTTTTTTAACATCCCAAAAACGGATAGATTTATCATAACTACCAGATGCTAATGTACTCCCATCAGGTGAAAAACAGACTGAATAAACAATGCTAGTATGAGCATCTAATTTTTCTTTTTGTTATCCTGTCTTAACATCCCATAAACGGATAGAATTATCTGCACTCCCTGATGCTAATGTAGTACCATCAGGAGAAAAGCAAACTGTATATATGCGACCAGTATGACCATGTAATTTGGCTTTTTATTATCCTGTTTTAATATCCCATAATCGGGTAGACTTATCAAAACTAGAAGATGCCAATGTTGCGCCATCTGGAGAAAAGCAGACAGATAGAATTCCATCACTATGACCATCTAATTTCATTTTTTATTATCCTGTCTCAACATTCCATAAACGAACAGAGTCGTCTAAACTACCTGATGCTAGTAATGTACCATTAGGAGAGAAACAGACTGAATAAACCCAATTTGAATGACCTTCTAATTTAACTTTTTGTTATCCTGCTTTAGTATCCCATAATCGGATAGAGTTATCATAACTACAAGAGGCTAAAGTAGCACCATCAGGAGAGAAACAGACAGACATGATCGAATTAGTGTGACCATATAATTGGGCTTTTTATTATGCTGTTCGAACATCCCATAGACAGACTGAGTTATCTAAACTACCTGATGCTAATATTGTACCATCAGGAGAGAAACAAACTGAATAAACATCTCTTGTATGACCATCTAATTTAGCTACTTACAATCCTGTCTTAACATCAAATACACGGATGGAATTATCTGCACTACCAGATGCTAATGCAGTACCATCAGGAGAAAAAAAAATTGAATAAATATTGCCTGTATGACCATGTAATTAGCCTTTTTATTTTTCTGTTATAAAATCCCATAAACGGATAGTGCTATCATAACTACAAGAGGCTAAAGTAGTGCCATCAGGAGAGAAACAGACTGAATTGATGCAATGGGAATGACCATCCAATTTAGCTTTTTACAATCCTGTCTTAACATCCCATAAACGGATAGAATTATCATCACTACCAGATGCTAACGTAGTACCATCAGCAGAGAAACAGACTGATAGAACATAATCATTATGGCCACATAATGTAGCTTTTTATTATCCTGTATTAACATCCCATAAACGAATAGTATTATCAGCACTACCTGATGCTAATGTAGTACTATCAGGAGAGAAACAAACTGAATAAACATCGCTTGTATGGCCATCTAATTTAGCATTTTATAATCCTGTCATAGTATCCCATAAACGGATAGTATTATCTGCGCTACCTGATGCTAATGTAGTACTATCAGGAGAGAAACAAACTGAATAAACATTGCTTGTATGGCCATCTAATTTAGCATTTTCTTATCCTGTCTCAATATTCCATAAGCGTATGGAGTTATCTCTACCACCAGATGCTAATATGGTACCATTAGGAGAGAAAGATATTGATTGAACACAACAAGTATGACCATCTAATTAATTTAGCTCATGGATTTTAATATTTTTCCATTTACATTTGAACAATTAAGCTTAGTTTAAATTCATCCCACTAATATCAACATTATCAAAATTGGATCCATTAAAATTGCATCGTAAAAAATTAGCACCAATTAAAGAAGTGTCTCTAATCCTGATGTTCTCAAAATTATGTTCTCTCATATCAACCTTCAACCCTACTAATACATTAAGTGAATTGGATCCGCATTAGATAAATCTTTCATCAATTGCTGTCAGAGAAACAAAAAATTTCAATAATTCAATCATATGCTTATTATCCTGAGTCATTTTTTTCATTAAATTCTTCCTAGCATATTAATATTTTTCTGAAGAGTAATTTTGAATATTAAAATCATGATCCTTAATATTTTTGAGAACATTAGTTATTTACTTAAATTAATTATTTCCAGCATTCACCATCTATTCCTAATTATAAAATGATAAACGTACTACCTATTGTATATCCTATTTGAATCGCCATTCATTATTTTCTTATGAAAGAAATTCTAGACAGTCTTAAATTTTTTCTCTTTTGAGGATCTAAATGAAGGTTTAGAAAAATGATTCATCGAATTCTTTNAGGAGAAAAAAAAATTGAATAAATATTGCCTGTATGACCATGTAATTAGCCTTTTTATTTTTCTGTTATAAAATCCCATAAACGGATAGTGCTATCATAACTACAAGAGGCTAAAGTAGTGCCATCAGGAGAGAAACAGACTGAATTGATGCAATGGGAATGACCATCCAATTTAGCTTTTTACAATCCTGTCTTAACATCCCATAAACGGATAGAATTATCATCACTACCAGATGCTAACGTAGTACCATCAGCAGAGAAACAGACTGATAGAACATAATCATTATGGCCACATAATGTAGCTTTTTATTATCCTGTATTAACATCCCATAAACGAATAGTATTATCAGCACTACCTGATGCTAATGTAGTACTATCAGGAGAGAAACAAACTGAATAAACATCGCTTGTATGGCCATCTAATTTAGCATTTTATAATCCTGTCATAGTATCCCATAAACGGATAGTATTATCTGCGCTACCTGATGCTAATGTAGTACTATCAGGAGAGAAACAAACTGAATAAACATTGCTTGTATGGCCATCTAATTTAGCATTTTCTTATCCTGTCTCAATATTCCATAAGCGTATGGAGTTATCTCTACCACCAGATGCTAATATGGTACCATTAGGAGAGAAAGATATTGATTGAACACAACAAGTATGACCATCTAATTAATTTAGCTCATGGATTTTAATATTTTTCCATTTACATTTGAACAATTAAGCTTAGTTTAAATTCATCCCACTAATATCAACATTATCAAAATTGGATCCATTAAAATTGCATCGTAAAAAATTAGCACCAATTAAAGAAGTGTCTCTAATCCTGATGTTCTCAAAATTATGTTCTCTCATATCAACCTTCAACCCTACTAATACATTAAGTGAATTGGATCCGCATTAGATAAATCTTTCATCAATTGCTGTCAGAGAAACAAAAAATTTCAATAATTCAATCATATGCTTATTATCCTGAGTCATTTTTTTCATTAAATTCTTCCTAGCATATTAATATTTTTCTGAAGAGTAATTTTGAATATTAAAATCATGATCCTTAATATTTTTGAGAACATTAGTTATTTACTTAAATTAATTATTTCCAGCATTCACCATCTATTCCTAATTATAAAATGATAAACGTACTACCTATTGTATATCCTATTTGAATCGCCATTCATTATTTTCTTATGAAAGAAATTCTAGACAGTCTTAAATTTTTTCTCTTTTGAGGATCTAAATGAAGGTTTAGAAAAATGATTCATCGAATTCTTTTGGTAAATCCAAAACCGCATACAAATCTTCATTGTATTTTTTTTTTACATTCATTTCTTTTTTATAAATACTATTGAATTTCTATTACTATATTTTGAATTTTATATTATTAATCAGATAAGTAACTTGACACTATTTCTTAGCTAAAATATCAATAATCTAGCTCAGCTCCTTTTTTTGAAATAATAATTCATCTAATCAAGATTTGTAAAATGTTGCCGATTTTAAACTAATCTCTAATTTATAATTGCTTTCATCTAGATAATTTTTTGGGGCCTTTCTTAAACTTTGTATGATATCCTTCATAATTTACAAATTGCATTTTTTTCTCAAATTGATACTTTTTTGATGTTACTACTTCTAAATTTATAAGCTGTTAAAAAGTGTTTAAATTATCAAATCAAACTATAGTGATCTCTTCTAGATGCTTATATTCATAGCCAATAGAATCATTGATTTAAAAGGTTTTATAAACAAATGTTCAATTTAATATATTTTCTATTGTTAAAATGGATAGTATTCCATTATTAAAATATGATGCACTTTGGATTATAAGTAATATTGTATTTGAAACCTAATAATAAATATAAATTATATTAGATAATGATGGAATCAATATTCTATTTCTGGGGCTTGAATCTTAATATGATGAACTTATTGAATTAGGAGTATGGGCTTTAGCTAATATAGCTGCTGATAATATTAAATTTAGGGATATGTTACTTTAGAAAGGAATATTGTTTCACTTAAAAAGAATATGGAAACAGTACAAAAAGACAAAATCTGAACTCATCAAAACAATAGTTTGGGCGTTAAGTAATTTGGCCAAAGGGAAACCAACTACAAAATTTGTATATTATTATTGATTTATATAAATAGAGTATAAGAGGATTAATATAAATATTGTCTGAAATAAGAATTAGCACCGATGATGAAGAACAATTGATAGATAGTAGTTGGGGTTTGAGTTATTTAGTTCAAGATATTTATGAAATAGATATATAAATAGATAAGAGACTTATTAAAAAATTAACAGTATTACTAAATTCTACTAAACATACTCTAATAATTCTAGCACTAAAGACGATTGGAATATTTTAAATGGTAATGATGAGTAAAAAAATCAAGTTTTATAAGCTGTAGTTTTGTAGTCTTTTGAAATATTGCTTTAACATAAACATAAATCAATAAGAAGAATGATTTTAAAATTTTGTATAATCTAGTGATCAAAGATTCCTTATGAAATTATGTTCTAAATATTACTTTAATTATTTTAATTATATGAAGAGTTATAGTTCATCATAACAATTAATAGAATGAGATTAAATTTAAGTGTTTTGAGAACTCATCAATATTTTATTAATTAGATTTATTAATTACTTTATCTTTTATAATTTTACTACTAGTTTGACATCAAATTTGCTTATAAAATCAATAGATATATAATAAAGAAGTACATTAAAAACAAATTAGTAATTTGTAAATAAAATTTCAAAAACACTTTTGGAAAAATATAAAACAATATGGAAATAATTAATATTTAATTTCTGTAATTTCTTTAATTATAGCACCTTAACTAGTAATCAAATTAATTAATAATTCATTTTTTTTAATTTACTTAATTATTAATTTGAATTAATGGTTAATGGTACTTTGAATAAAGAATGGTTTTATTTTTTTTATTTTAGATTTACAAAATGACATATTACTGTGAACAGTTACTATCGAAGTAAACTCATAAAACACAAAAATCTAAATCAGATGGATGGATGGATATAGTAGAGTTAGATGCTAGGGTATGAAAATAGAAGAGATTTATACTTACAGCTATCCAGCTCATATATTTTTCTACTTTTCCATTTGCTATTAAATATTTATGCTCCATTTAAATTCATCCAAAATATCTACATACTTAAATTATTATCCACTCAAATTGAATCTTACTAAATTTTCACCTTCCAAAAAAGTATTCTCACTCTTTATATAGAAAAAATTATATTTTTTTTAAGATAAATCTTGTATTCATCTTATTACTTTTGAGCTTCCATTGAAAAATGAATTTTATAGTAATATATATCTGCAACTATCTTACTAATTGTTCAATTTTCTCAACCTATAGAAACCTTAATTGGAAAAACCTTATATTTTTCATGGCATTTCAGATAGTTTAAAAATCAAAATTTACATTTAGGCTTAAAATAATTAGATAATTAAAATTAATAATTTTTTGAATTACAAAGGAAAGCTAAAATAAATAAAAAAAAATAGGCATTAAATTGGATTTTTAGTAATATTTTCATTAAATAAATTTTATTAAATATATATATATATACAACAATTATTTATTTATATTAAATAATTTGTATATCTAGTTTTTCTTGATTAATAATATGAGATTATTATTCTAAATTAAGTAGTAAACAATTATATAAATGAATGATTTTTTTTTTGAATTTTAAATTATATTACAATCTTAATATTATTTTATATTAATACAGTCTTTGTTATTTATAATAGCATACCCCTATTATTCTTTACATTTCCAGATATCATTCATATTTCATCCTCTAAATAGAATCACAGGTCAACCTTCCATTTATTGAAAATTTAAAACAAATCAAACAAGCACAGCACTTCTATTGAAATCTTTGCTTGCTGTGTAATGAAGGAATAATAGAATATTTTTTTACATAATTTGCATGTAGAACCAGCCTTCTTAATATATTTATTACTCTAAAACTCTAGGCATACAAAAGGTTCTGAACAAATTTTAAAATTAATGGCATCTAAAACAAAAAGGGTTTGTGGGTACTGATTAATATCCATCTAAGAAAACACATTCTTAACATAAAAAGAGTCATAAATTTTGGTATTGAAAACTATGAATAGAATGATGAACTTAGAAATTTTCAATTCGAATTAATTTTTTTCACATTTATATTCTAGTTTAGTCAGAAAATAAGCGGATTTACAATTAAAAGTTAAGCTTAAGAGGACAAATTATAAATTTAAATTAAATTTTCTCATTGTATTATTCATTTTGCATTCATTCTCAGATAAAATTTTTAATTTATTTCATATTATTCCACATGTATACAACTATTTTAATTTGTAAATTTATAACAATACGGTTAGCCGTAATGAACAACAATAAAGTATTTATAAAAATCCACAATATATTATTATTGGTTCATTGTTTTCTCTAAAACATTTCCATTATATTGTTAAATTATCATAAGAATGAGCGTTTTTATGCCTTACAAAATTATGACTACTCTTAGAATATGAATTAAGCAAAGTATCATCAATTAAATAAATAAAATTTCTTTCAGAAGGAAAACTAGAACAATATGTAAACTAAAATTAAACAGTAATTCTGTGGAAGAAATTGTCAATTTAATAAATCTTTAAAATAAAGTCTGGCTCCAATACTATCCACCAAAGACTCAATTATTATTTTAATAAGAAAACAGTTAGAATGTAAAATATGATTGTATTTACAATTTAAAAATTAACTCCCTTTTAGGAGAGGAATTAATATTAAAATTAATATAGAGACAATAAGCTGTTTTTATTTTTAGTTTAGAGAATTAGTATCATATTTTGCCAAATATTTTGACTCTATCTATAATAACAATTTAATTAAAGGTGTTTTATCTTCCAAATCACCTACTATTTTTCTGTGTCAGAATAACAATAAGTTATAAATTTATATGAAAATTAACTATAATCATTTGGCTATATCATTCTTACCCGCATAAAATTTTTTTTACATTACTTACATTAATAGGATATACTAAATAATTAAATTTGCGTTTTACTTCGCATATCTTTCATTCTTATGGATAAAGTCCATTTGTAATTTAGAGGGATAATAATCTTCATCCTTAGGTTGAAGCCTTAAAAGAGCTAAGAAATATTACTAGAATAGATATTAGGGAATATCAAAAAAATATGGAGATCATAGTAATAACAGAAAGAGTATGAGCTTTAAGAGCTAACCTAATATGTTTCAATAATTTTAATACCATATATTTAGATTCCTTAAAAATCGTTATAAATATAATAAGTGTTGTTATTGTGGATTTATAGAAATTCTATTCACTAGAATCATAAATTCATTTATTCCTATATTCATAAATCTTATTCCTCTCCCGATATTATTTTATTCTAATCCCATAAGAATAGATAATTTTATATGCACTTATTTCATTTATAAGTCTAGCTATTCCAGAATTATATTTAAAATGACATAGACATTACAATTTGCATTAATATACTTTGAAGATGTATCTAAATGGAATAGGCCATATATTATTGTTTTAAAAAAAAAAATTTTGAATTATGATACAGAATCATCATTCTATAAAATTTAAGAATCTAAAATAAATTAGTAATGTTTCCTTCAAATTCCTATCAAAATCCATTTGAATATTTAAAAATCTCAAATTTACAATAAGTTATGCATCCTATATATTTTCGTAATAAAAATTATTAGAACAAAGGGAACATTTATGATTATTTGGTGCTCTTGAAAAACGATATATGATACAGATTCGGTATTTTTAGTAGACTTTTTGAATTTTATTAACCCTGATTTTTAGATTGACAGAGCAAAAGTTATTATCCTACACTAGTTTTAAAGGTTAAACAGAAAAGGTAGATTTAAATTCATATGGAAAATGAACCAATTTCAAAAACTACTTAATCATTTGCCCGCTTATGTTATTTCATATTACTTTCCAATATACTTTAAAAGAATAAATTAAATGAAATAAAATCCCCTTTAATACGTTTTATAAAATTTAAGTAGAATTGTGTTAAATGTCAAATTTATATTATTAACTAGTGTCTAATTAATGATGAGTATGAATGAATGAATATAATGTAGTTACTAATTACAATGTTCTTTAAAACATTAAATTATAATTTATCTTATCATTTAATAATTTATGTAAGAATAAAGGTTCCAATTGAAGATAAGGTGAATTTCTTTATAGAATATTTATTTAATTAGCCAAAATTTATTCAATAAATATTATATATAAAGCATTAGGGTCCAAACTTAAATCCTAAATAACTTAATTTTGAATGTCTGAATTATATTTAAATTACAACAAATAGTCATGAAGATAACTAATCCCTTAAAATCACCGGCTAAAAACTTTGAAGGCCAAAATGGTATATAAATTATAATTTTCGTTAGAGTAATTAATTAAATCTGTATGATAAACATTTCTTTCTTAATGAGACTTATTTGGAACTAGATTCAATTTTCAAATATCTTTCATTTTGATTTAAAC